TCTCGTGTTTGTTAAGATGAGATTGCCTTCTCTATCACTGATCCAGGCCCGGTCTGTTGACACGTGGGTAATGTGATAACACTGACCAACACCAGACAATGTGACAGATTTTTGTAACACCAGTCTAAACATCACTGACACCAGACTTCTATTTCTTTTTCCTGTGTTTTCAGAATCCAATGTTGATTTCATTCAGTCAGGGAGATTTCTCTGTAAATTACATTGGTCATGCAATCTTAATAATATTTCCATCTTCACATTCTGTGTAATGATTTTCTCTTTACATAATTTATGAAACTAACTGTTAAGTTCTCTTACAGATTCCTTTAAAATATTTTGTAAACAATCCTATTTATATCATAAATTGTCTCCTTTTAAATTATTTAGGTCATTACAATTATGTCATTTTAAATCATAGATAAACATCATGTTATACATTTACCTGTACACACATGTAGAATCCTTAGGTCCTACCGGCTGTAGGCAAGGTGATGTGGAGGCCTCTATATTAATGGACAGAAATCTGCTAAAAAACAATATTTTACATTGTATCATCACGTATATGTATCAGAATTAACATTTTAATACTGTCATATTATTAAAATGAATTACAAATCTCACAACTGTTTAAACACATTCAATAAACCAAAATTTCACTGTGTGTAATTTTCTATTATTTCTGTCAAATAATTAAAGATTATATTAATATAATAACACATGATACAGTACATGTATATAACATTCATGTAACTTATAAAGCAACATGATAAAAATGTTTACTATACTGATTTCCTTTGGTGTCCAGTGTATATAGGATATGTGTTCTTGTTGGTAAGTATTCTGTAAAGAGATAAAAGGTCATTATGACACTCTTAACATGTACACTACATATATAGCTAGCTTTGTGTTTAACACATAATAAAATGATGATAACAATATAAATATACTAGAAACTCTTGTTGCTACAGCAACAAAGAAGGTCTTCCGTTCTCCTCTATTTATGTGCATGAATGAGCTTTTATCTATGTAAAAAGGCATATATTATTTTAAATGATTTCTGGAAAACAAACAGCCGGAGGTGTAACTTACTAAGATTCGATTCTCGACGTTACTTTAGACAATATTATAGTCTTAATAACATTTATATAGAACATTTTCAATTTTTTAATCACTTTCTGTGACGACCGGAAGTGACGTCGGAAGCAGAAATTTTTTATTTATTTGTTCACTTCCTGTGACAAACGGAAGTAACGGCGGACAATGTTAACCCAAATGAATTTGCCTACTCAGCAAGATCTATCACTCTTATAAGTTTGGTGTCTTAATCTTTTACCGTTTACGAGATCTATCTATGATAAATTTTCGTTTTGAGGACAGGAAATCACGCAACCGGAAGTGAATTTTACAAAGATATTTTACGTTACTGTAGACAGTTGCAGTCTGAATAACATATCCAAAAATCATTACAAATGCTTTATCTACAAAAAATATTAATAGGAAAGAAATATACACAAATTATGTAGTTTTTCTTTAATAACCGGAAGTTGTCGTTTTTGTTTCCAATGGGACTGACATATTTCGAAATTTCAAATTAGATGCTATAATGTGATGCAAAAAAGTTTCCATAAAGAAAAGTTGGTTTTTTAAAATTTATTTGATCACTTCCTGTGACAACCGGAAGTGACGGCGGACAATCTTATTCCAACTGCTTTTGCCTACTCATCAAGATCTATCACTTGTAAAAGTTTGGTGTCTTCATCTTTTACCGTTTACGAGATCTAGGTATGATAACTTTTCATTTTGAGGACAGGAAATCACGCGACCGGAAGTGAATTTTACAAAAATATTTGACGTACTAGTAGACAATTGCAGTCTAAATAACATATCCAAAAATGATTACAAATACTATATAATATAAAAAATATTTATGGGAAAGAAAAATACTTAAATTATGCAGTTTTTCTCTTATAACCGGAAGTTGTCGTTTTTGTTTCCGGTGGGACTGACATATTTCGAAACAAAAAATAAAATGCTATAAGGTGATGCAAAAAACTTTCAAAAAAGAAAAAGTTCAAATTTTCGATTTCTTTGATCACTTCCTGTGACGACCGGAAGTGACGGCGGACAATCTTAACCCAATTGGTTTTGCCTACTTATCAAGATCTATTACTCATATAAGTTTGGTGTCTTAATCTCTTACTGTTTCTGAGATATGACTCGGACAAAACTTTTCTGAAAAAAGCGGAAATCGGACATATCTGACGACCGGAAGTGACTTTTGAAAAACTGAAAACTGCATTTGAAGGATATTTTTACTTTCTTTCATCTCTGAAAATTTCATGAGAATCTGTCCAGGCATCTCTGAGAAATCGTCAAAAACAAAAAGGGAAAAAAAAATAAGAAGAAAAAGAAAAAGAAAAAGAAGAAACAGTAGAATCACTATAAGGTCTTCCGTCTGAAACGGAAGACCTTAATAATAATATATAAAGAGCAAGCTGAGCCAGCTCACAAAATTTTGATTTCTTTTTATTGAATGCTATACTCAAAGTTATGGACCAGACTCAAATTATACTCTTTTTATCATGTATATGTGTTCATGAGCTTTTACATGTATTCAGTTACCACACAAACTGATATTTAAATATTATGAAAATACATCAGGATCGGTATCCCAAAGAATATTGCGTTGAGTGAAAATTGGTGTAAAGATTTTGAAACATGTATTAACACATGTAAAATGACAATAATTATTTTAATGAAATGGAGTCCTCTATATAAACAGTGTCAAACATTGTTAGTGGTGTAAAAAACATTGGATAAAAAGAATCTCACATGATTTGTAGTTGGATGTGATTTTTATGTGATATTGTTTTCGTATCAACACTATCATACAGTACTCCTACGCCGTGTGACGTAATGTAAAATTTAATAAACAAATACATGTATATGATGGAGAGAATGACTTACTTTGTCACATTTCACTTTATTTGATATATCTTAAGTTTTCATTCATAAATTGAAAAAAATAAGCGCTGAAATATTTTCTTTCATTTTTGTATGAACTATTTCATACAGCCTTATATTATTTATTACATTATTTGGTCCAAGGTAACCGAAAAGGAACTTTGAATTAGAAAGAAAGACAGAATACACATTTATAGTGAACAAAAATATGTGATAAAAAGAATCTACCACCACAAACCATGGAAGATCCTATATATAATTATTTCAACTTATTTTTTCATTTAAGGCTTAAGAATAATATTTATTTGACAGACTCAATCGCAGTTTTAAATATGTGTGGCTGCTTTTTTGTGCATTTATGAACTTTTTAATCTACTCACGTGCCAAGTTATATTCAAATCAGATCAAAACTGTAGGAGGATTGTATTTTGGAAATATTTCAAAGAAATTTCTATTTTTAGTAACCATGGCAGCACCGTTCTTGGAAATTAAAAAAAAAAAACAGACGGACACCTTACAAAACTTGATCAAACAAGAAGCCCATGGGCCTCAACGCTCACCTGAGTACATCTGGCCATTGCTCTTTTTTACCAGATGCCCCCCTCTTGTAATACCTATTGTGACCTCATCCTACCCCAAGGTGTCTTGATTTAAACAATTTAGAATCTCACTACCTAAGGATGCTTTCACATCAGTTTCAGCTTTTTTAGCCCAATGATTCTTGAGAAGATTTTTACTATATATCAATGTAAAATTGTATTGCCTATTACCGCCCCCCCCCCCCCAATCCCAAGGGTTCATGGTTTGTACAATTTAAAATTTACACTACCCAAAGTCGAAAGATACTTTCATACAAGTTTCAGCATTTCAGGCCCTGTAGTTCTTGAGAAGAAGATTTTAAAGATTTTTCCTATATATTTCAATATAAAACTTGGATTCCCTATTGTGGCACAGCTCTACCCCCAAGGGTCATGGTTTGTACAATTAAGAATCTACACTACCCCAAGATACTTCCACATAAGTTTAAGATTTTCTGGCACAGTAGTTCTTAAGAAGATTTTTCCTATGTATTTCAATGTAAAACTTGGATTTCCTATTGCAGCCCCGCCCTATCCCTTGGGGTCATGATTTGAACAATTTAGAATTTACACTACCCCAGGATGCTTCCATATAAGTTTCAGCTTTTTAAACCAAATGGTTCTTGACAAGGCCTAAAAAAAATATATGTTTGCTTCTTGTAACCTGACCGACCCATTCAAATTACCCCCCGGTGGACTTTTTTTTTCTGACAAATGGCAAAACTTCGTTTCATCAATCAGCTGATTCCATTTATCAAAAAAAGAAAATGAGCTTGTAGCTTAACTTGAGACATAAAATATGTCAACCTAGTTTACATTTACCTTAGTTATAAAGAGTAATCATTATTATAACAACAATTTCCCCCTACAACTTTCTGAAGTTCGTTTTCTGCTGCTAGGCAGCCATTTTGGATGCCATGTTGGGTCTCCACTGTAAATATAAGAATTTCCGACCTACCGACCCTTAATTTTTTGGGAATGTTACAGAAATCAAACATATTTTTTTTTTTAAGCCTAAGAAAATTTTTAAAGATTTTGCCTATATATGTCAATGTAAAACTTGGATTCCAAATAGTGGCCCCACCCTACCCCCAGGGGTTATGATTTGAACAATTTCAAATCTACACTATCCAAGGATGCTTCCACACAAGATTCAGCTTTTCTGGCCAAGTGGTTCTTAAGAAGAAGACCTCACTCTATTTTTATCATTTATTGATTATCTCCCCTTGGTCCTTCAGTGATAAAATTTAAACTCCTTTACCCAAGGATGCTTTGTACCATGTTTGGTTAAAATTGGCCTTGTAGTTCTTGAGAAAAAGTCGAAAATGTGAAAAGTTTACAGACAAACGGACGCCAGACAGACTACGGAGAAAATGTGATCAGAAAAGCTGACTTGAGCCTTCTGTTCACTTGAGTCATGAAGGCTCGGAAGAGTTAAAAATGTGATTCCTATACCCGCAAGAACTTTGTAGTATTCTAATAAGAATTTCAAAGTACTTAAAACAAATGTACCTTATACAACACCAGTATCGCTCTGCTCACAGTTGAATTGTTCTGTCTCTGACACGTCTGTAAGGCAGAAAAAACAAAGTCTTCATTACATTTCAGCATGAAGGTAAACATTTCTTTAGCTATAGTAACTTGATTGAATTAAAAAAAATATTTCCCCATATTTTTTTATTTTCTCTGTGAATATTTGTTTACAAATACTTAGTTTACGTATATATACATGAAATTACTTATAAATAAATTGGGCATTTTCTTAAAGTGAGTGAAACAAGGAACCTGCATGATGGAGACATCTTCCTTTAAACAGTCATGCAGCAAATCATTAGGAATCTATATAAAAACATTGTTATTGAAAAAGTGAAAATAGATTTTTATTTGTAATGACTTTGCATACACCTCAAAATAAAATATCATCTAAAGATGTACCTAATATACCACACTGATATCCTCTGTATACAGTTAAATTGTCCCCCTCTCTAAAGGTGTACTGATATCCCTCTCTTTGCAGTTAAATTGTCTTGTCTCTGTGATTTGTCTGTAAAGAAAAACAAAGGGTTTAATTGTTACTTTTCAGCATGAACATAAACATTATTTTCTTTTATTATCTATATAACATATTCAGTTAACTATATATATTTTTTATAATAAACTATTACTGAGTTACCTGTATGGTGGTGGTTTCTTCTTTTACACAGGCATGCAGCAAATCATTAGGACTCTGTATAAAAAAGATTTATATTTGAGATGCAGGCTTTGCACAATACCATAAAAAGTACATTTACCGGTGCATTGGTACTCAAGTATTACAAGAGGCCCCATGTACCACATTGCTTAACTGTGTTTCATTTTGCTTACACATGCACATGAAGGTAAACAGACCCCTAACTGTGGTCATCATATATATGTCTGTTATTAATGGTTTGAATTTTGAGTCGGGGGGGGGGGGGGGGGGTATTTTCTGTCAAGATTACAATTACTATCATTTTGAACTTGTTAAAATAGTTGCAACTTATTTTGCATGTGAAAACTTTTTGGTATCAAAGAGTAATAGATTAGTCACTTCTCTAAAGGTACGATGGGAATCAGAAGCCTCTGAAGAGATTGTAGCTCTACTTGACAGATTTATACAAATATAACTGTAGCAGTTTGGACTATACGGATCATGGATATTGGCCTGAGTAGCTCAGTGGTAGAGCACCTGACTAGTAATGTAGGGTCCCCGGGTTCAGCCATATATTTTCTTCATGCATTTCTCCTTTCCTCATAGGCTCATACATAACAAAAGTATTATTATAATTTTGAATTGAATTATTATCATTTCATTGAGTTTGTCTTCTAAAGGTTTAGGAGACTAATGTGCAATGATTTAGATCACAGAATTTAATCTTAAAACCTGCCTGGCATGCCTAAACATTGTAATACTCTGACTTAGAGAGTAGCTCTAATTTTTTGCCCATTTCTAGATATATATACATAATTAACTTCAAATATTTTAGGAATGACTCTAATTATTGGCCAAATTCAGACCTGCCTACCCTTTTCATTGAACATGTTGAAAGGGTGTAAGTACATTTTTGGTGGAATTTCCAAGGTAAAAGCGTAATCAATAATGTTAATATTCCTATTTTGTTGTTTACTATAATACTTTATTTTGTTGTTTACTATAATACTTTATTTTCTTTCAAAACAACCAAATTTGTACATTAATAAGCTGGCATAAACTTTTCTTTTTCGAGTCTCTATTGGCAAAAATGTTGTAAAATACCAGCATACCATATCACACTCAATTCAACTGGCCCATGGGGATCCGGGTTAGAATAGGTCCTCAGTATCCCCTTGCTTGTTGTAAAAAGCGACTAAATGGGGTGGTCCTTCGGATGAGACAGTATAAACCAAGGCCTCGTGTCACAGCAGGTGTGGCATGATAAAGATCCCTCCCTGCTCAAAGGCCGTAAGTGCCGAGCATAGGCCTAAATTTGCAGCCCTTCACCGGCAATGGTGACGTCTCCACATCAGTGAAATATTCTTGAGAGGGATGTTAAAACAGTATACAATCAATCAATCAATTCAACCATACACCCTAAATGAAGCATTTGGTCAATTTGTATCAAATCACTTAATTGAAGGCTCGAGTTTGCATGTTTACACAAGTCGCCCACTATAACATTGTATTTTTAGGTCACCTGAGTAAACTCAGGTGACCTATTGCTATCTGTTTTCGTCCGTCGTCGTTCGTCGTGCGTCGTTCGTTAACATTTGAACATTTTTAGCTTCTTCTCTGAAACCACTGAACCAATTTCAACCAAATTTGGCATATAGCATTTATGTGTGAAGGGGAACAAAAATTGTGAATTTCATAGTCCCTGCCCCACTTGGGCCTGGGGGGTGGGGCAAAAACCACTAAAATTAGTGCAAACTTTAAAAATCTTCTTCTTTACTCCTGGACATCAAGCAGTTAAACTGTTGGTATGATAGTAATCAGCATTGAGTCCTCTACCAAAATTGTGAAATTCATGACCCCAGGGTCAGGGGTTCTAGTGCTAGGGTGGGGCTAAACAGGTTATACAGTGAAAATGCATTATTTCTTTCAAATTCTTCTTTTCTGTTTGTGGGCATTAAATAAACCAGAAAACTGACCAGTCAGCAAGGGCCCCGCCATGGGGTGGAATTATAAGGATGCAGCTTACGGAATGATTAAAAAATATATGAAGAAATAAGCAAACAGCAACTGTATTCTTAAAATTTTCAACATAATTCCTGAATATCCCAAAACCTGCAAATAATATCCTTGTATATTTACATTAGGCAGTAAAGAACAACCTAACATTGAATGTATATATAAACAATAATGAAGTTTGTGTTAGTGTTATATAAAATGCCAGTCTTCAAAGAATGCAAATACATGTGTCATGAAGGCTTGACCTTAACTTCAAAACAAACAGCAGTTGCAGACAAAGGTTTTCATTAATCTTAAAATGACAGATAAAGATAGGCCTACTAAATTTTCTTCAGCAGGCTAGATAATTAATCCCAAGGGATTAATTGTACCTCTCTCATCATTTTCTTCTAAAGTTACAATAAGAACTTTTTCAGTATTAATATTAGAATGAAATCATAACTCATTGTGTAGGTATTTTAACCAAAATAAAGTATAAACATTTATATCTAAATCCACATTTCAGAGTGTTCACAGCATTCCAAATTGACTGAACTTCAAAACAAACTTCATTTGCAGACAGAGGTGGTAATTAATCTCAATGTGACAGATAAAGATAATGCTTTGGATTTTCTTCAGGAGGAAAGCTTACAATGGAAACATCTTCAGCAGTTATCTCTCTTTGCCAAAGCATTCTTATATAAAGTTAAGGAATATACCCCACCACCCCAGCTCCAAACCAGGGGACATAGAGAAACAAACTTAGCATCAAAATATGTCTTTCTGCCTATTGAACTACCATACCAAATTTGATCTTAATCGGGCAACCATAAAAAAAGTTATTAGGAAAAAACAGAAAATTTGTGGACGGACGAATGACAGACGGACAGACGGACAGACAGAGTGATTACTATAGGGCACCCGCAAATCCTTGCGGGGCCCTAACTAACCAAGTGCATAGGTAAGTTGAAAATGACCGCTTTTCCAAAATTGTGAATTTCATGGCCCCAGGGCCAGGGGTTCTAGTGGTAGGGTGGGGCTATATAGATTATATAGTGAAAATGCACAAATTCTTTGAAATTCTTCTTTTCTGTTTGTGAGCATTTAAAATAAACTAACCAAGTGCATAGTTATATTGAATAAGACTGCCTCTTCTCAAATTGTGAATTTATTGGCCCCAGGGTCAGGGGTTCTAGTGGTAGGATGGGGCTATATAGATTATATAGTGAAAATGCAAAAATTCTTTGAAATTCTTCTTCTCTGTTCATGAGCATTAAATAAACTAACCAAGTTTATGGCTATGTTGAATAAGACTGCCTCTTCCAAAATTGTGAAATTTCATGGCCCCAGGGTCAGGGGTTCTAGTGGTAGGGCGGGGCTACATAGATTATTTTGTAAAAAATGAATTATTTCTTTTGAAAATCTTCTTCTTTGCTCCTGATTATTAAATAAACTAACCAAGTACATTGTTATGTTGAATAAGGCTACCTCTTCCAATATTGTGAATTTCATGACCCCTGGGTTGGGGGTTCTGGTGTTAGGGCGGGGCTTTTTTGAATATATAGTGAAAATGCATAAATTCTTTAAAACTCTTCTTTTCTGCACCTGAGTATTTAACCAATGAACTATGTACATAGTTATGAGGAGGAAGGCATACATGCCAACTTTTGAAAATTTTCTTGGGGGAGATTGCGCGTAACGACATTTTTTAAAGTTCCTAATTCGCGGCGTTTTGTCGTGAAATAACTTTTTGAAGGTTGTTTTTTCTAAATTATCAATCTAGTACTACATTAATTATATTATCATGTATTATTACTACTTCAAAAAGTGTTTTCTTCTCTATCAACTTAAAGAAAAGCACAAATACAATATTTATATCATTTAAATATATATTTATTATATATCATTTATAATTTTAAAAAAGCAATTTTATTCAAATTTATTTCATATTAAGATAAATATACCCTCTTTCTTGAAGAATGTGATACTCAAAGATAACATATTAGTACATAAATAAGGATGTTAAACTTTACAAATAAGCTGAACTGTTCATTGTGTGTTGGTAAATTACAAAGTTTATAAGGTTACTGTTATACAAATATTGTTAAATTATTTTTTTTAATCAGAGGGAATATTAAGTCATTTTAACTTTTCAATCAAAGTCTGCAAAAGGCATGGTCTTTTCCTTTCTTTTTTATTTTGATCACTCTGGGCAGTCCTAATGGTTTTCACTTGCAGGCACATTTTTTCCATGTTGGATTTTTGGCAGTGTCTTTTCCATGAAGTAGATCATAATTTAATGAGGAATGCAATATTCCAAAACTTGAACACCTTTTAAAAACGGTTTATACGTATATTGTCGAAGTTTGCTGTAAAGTGTGAACTCTCACAAGTTTGTCAGTTTGTATCCAGTGTCGTGTGTATTTCTAAAATTTCCACATCTGGCATAATTGTCTCGGTTAAAATACACTGTTAATGAGGTTCAGGAGCAATAAAAACCTCTGTAATGACTGGTAGCACAGTTGACACCTAGTTGATTACCTGTTATCAGCGGCAATAAACAGATATCCTACCGATAAACATTGAAACAGCCATGTTTCTGCACACGGAAATACTGTATTATTCAAAGCGAATCGGTAAAAATTCCGGATTTTCGAAAAATCGGTAGAAATGGGGAAAAAAAAGTTAATCGGTAGACAAGCAGTAGAGAGGGTTAAAAATCGGTAGACTCCCGAAAAAATCGGGAAAGTTGGCATGTATGGGAAGGATGCCTCTTTGAGATTTTTGAATTTCAGGGTCCCTGGGTTAGAAATTCTTGTGTTGGGGGGAGGGGGGGGGGAGGCTCTAATGTTTACATTGTATATAGTGAAAATGCTTGAATTCTTTGAAAATCATTTCCTTTGTTATTGGGTATAATACCAATGATCTTAGTATATATTTATGAAAAAAAAATCTGCTTCTTCCAAAAATGGTTAATTTCCTGTCCCCTGGGACAGAGATACTTTGGTTGGGGGGTGGGGGGTAGGGGTAGGGGTAACATAGTCTGAAATGATTTAATGCTTTGAAGTCTGCACTTTGGTATTAATCAACAGCATGATGAAAGAAAATTTTAAAAATTTCCAAAATTTTGAAAGATGTGGCCCCAGGGTCACTGGTTCCTGTAGGATGGGGAGCTCAACTGTGGACCCGCCCTAACACAAGAAGCCCTGACCCAGGGGCTCTGAAATTCACTAAAAGTTGAAATGCATTTTCTCTTACTCTGATCTGCCTCTGGGTTTTAAGTAACCAAAATAAACATGCTGAGTGTATAATTATGATAAGCAATGGTGCCTCTTTCAAAATTGTGAATTTCATGGCCTCTAGTTTAAAACATGAATCAAATTCAATAGTTGGAAAGTTGTCGCATGATACTCAGGTGACCTATAAGGCCCGTGGGCCTCTTGTATTTTTTAACACTCACATTTCTCTATCTTGTTCTAATCAATGTTAAAATAGCTGGATTTTTGCATAAGCAGGTTAGTATACAAAAACAAACGGGGCATTCTTTAATTGTTTAAAAATGGCAGTACTTATTGCAATAGTTAACGTAAACTGTAGTTACCTTCTCGTCTTCTTCCGAATCTTAGCAATACCAGTTTACATGTGACTACTAGGTAGTAGTATATTACGTATGCTATTGAACCCGTCCTTTATTATATACTTTTATTAGAACTTATCATTTCATTTCAACAAGTCGTACTTAAATTCTAAATTTAGACGTTCATAATGGATTTTAAACCAAAATATCGAAAGCGTAAAATTAATATAAGTGGCGTGATAGCAAAATTTTGTAGTAAAAAGTTGATGAATTACGCCAAAAGCGGAAGGGTAGGCATGTCTGCAAATTATTTGAGTATAACCCGGTTAGGATCAGTTTACGTTGTTTTGTAATCCGCAAAGTGCATTATAAGACAGCATAAACTGATCCAAACCAGGTTATATTAGAATAATTTGGCCAAGAATTAGAGTCATTCAGTCCTTATAATTTAATTTTAAAATCATGCATTAAACAACTATGGGTGTAAAGTTTTGTTGCTTAATTTGAGTTCAAATTTGCCGCTCAATAATACAACCGTAGTAACAGAAATGATGGGAAGCGAGGGGAGGTGAAAACTGATACAAAGACCTAGCAGCAATGTTGTTTGTTTACATGTACGTTGTAAGATTGTTACTGTCTGAAGTTAAAGGTACATTTATTAAATCTGGAATTTTCCATGAATCACAATGACTGGAATGAGAGGATTGCATAGATAAAGATGATTCAGCTGGTTGTCAAGGGGATGTGTCCTAAACAGAATGTTCTATCGTTAAAATGATAAATGTCCTATCGACCCGGTTAAACTATAGAATTTGTTCCGTGTATTCACAATGTAGCAAAGTAAACATGGGCAATAACTCGCACTAGTGTATTTACTACGAACAATCCCGAGAGTTCTGAATGTAAACATGGCAGGTAAATTTGAAGTGAGAAAAATCGTTGAGAAAATTTGTTGAAATTTCGTCTTTTTATGCATTACTTTTTGGGATAAAAGGCATAAAAAATCTCAAAAATATTTGTTACAATTAATTTATAAGTTATTTTCAGAGCAAATCCATATGTATCCTTCAAAATCGTTTCGGAGCGATTCTGCAATTATTTGCTACATTATGAGTATTGGTAGGAATTCTAACTGTACGTGGCAAGGGCTTGTCCCAAGACACAGTAAGCAGGTCCAGCACAATACCCCGATAAAGGTATATACAGCTTGATAAAGCTATATAGCTTTATCAAGGTATTTAAAATACCTTGATGAAGGTATTTTATGTAAATGAAAATTCAAAAAAATTCTTTAAAACTTAATTACTGAACATGCTGAAAGTCGAGTTCTGAGTTTTTGTCAGTGTGTCTACTCGTGCATGAAAAACACTCTGGTATCAAAAACAAAAGCATAAAATAACGTCTCCTCACACGACACGTTTTTCTGCTGATTTGTTTGTGTTTGAGTACTTTACATGCATGGGTGAATTTACTGATAAGAAAAAGCGTTATCAAGCTGTATACCTTTATCGAGGTATTGTGCTGGACCTGGTAAGATTATTCTAACTAGGTGTGTCCCTACACCAAACTAGGTTATACAGAAATAATTTGTGTTCCTTTTTAGATATTAACCAATCAGAGGCGAGAATACAAACAAAATAAATTGTTATAGAAAAAATAATTATATTACTCAAACGGGCTATCATACCCTTTTTGGGTGGTCCCAATCTGTTCGCAAGGCGAATTAATGCCGAGTGATCTCAGTCTCTACTCTGTCAATAATTTTTCAGATTCTTTCTACCTTTTCTGGTTTGTTTTTTTTTAATATATTCGATCAGTGCATACTATTAATGCAAGATATATTACTGTATTCAGCGGCGACTCACACAAATCGTTCCGACGAAAATAGTTCCATCATTAATAAGTAGATATTACAATATAATTGTTCATGATAAAAATAATGTTGTGTATATCATACGTAAAAGAAACCAAAATTAATGTTAATTTTTCCTCCAAAGATAACTTTCCCCCCTAAATGCAAATAAAAAATGTTGATATTCCTACGCTCGCTCCCTCCTCAGCTTTTTTTTAAACATGTTTGATAACAGAGAATATCTAGGTCATTCTTCGTTTGATATTTTTTCACTGATGAATTGATTATACTATATCAACAACTGTAGTAAAATCATGTTAATTGTTCGTTAATTATCATAAAGTTTCCTTTAAGAGAAAAAAAATAATCATTCTGTGTGTAGAATGTTAAATGACGGAATTTTCAATCCCTGAGCTGATTCCTGCACGTGTGTAGACAAACTACACATAGGGAGAGTACGTATGAAATGTGTAACAAAACCCGAACTGGCCGGGGGATTTCTAAACTGACAATCGTTTAATTTTTATGAATCAGAATTTGTATTCATGTGATCTAATTATGAAAAAAAGTTCTGTCTGCCATCGTAACTTCTCTGTGAGCGGGAGTCCGTTTGACAACTCCATCGCACGTGTGTATAGACCAAGGCTAACTGGTCTTGCGGACATAGGTATGTGTACTGTTTGTTAGCACGGTTAGGAGACTGGGTGACCGTAATGCTACTGACTCACGAAATTTACACAAGTTCTATAACTATAACTAGACAGTGCAGTTTTATTTTTATAAACGTCATTAAACACTGTTAAACATATTAAATCTAAAAGTCGAATATCTTTGGATATGGGGTAACCCATATCCATTCTTGTTATTTTTTAAAACGGCTTCACACACCCTTCACCTTGTTCTTAAGTTGAATATTCCTAAAATGGCGTCAACTACTTCCTCATTCACAATTTTATTGTCGTGTCATTCCTTAAGTAGAGAAAACTCTCCATTCCATCACTTGTATATCAACATTTTCTTACCTTTTACTTGGATTTTGCCTTTCTGAGTTGCAAAAGCCAGCAATCAGTTCTTCCTTCGACTTTCGGTGGCAACTTTCGGTTTCTTAAAGTAGTGCTACCAGTGGCTCACATATATGGCTCACCGATTGCGCCATAAATAATTTCTGAAGTAGGTCTCATTCAACCAGACGCTCGGCTGTCTCCGTAAATCTCCTATCTCTGCTGGTGGGAGATTTACGGAGACAGTCAGTCGAGCGTCTGAAAAGATCCTGACTAGCGAAAAAAAGACATTTTTTTTATTCGGAAGGGGGGATTATTAAGTTCCAATTAACTTCTTTCAGTACATTTTTTACACTAACATTAGGCTACTCGAAGTAAAAGTACGTTAAACGTCACCAGCACGCGTAGGTTTCGGAGATATTGGCACTCTTAAAAAAACTTATTAAAAAAAAACAAGATGAACAGTTTCTGTCTCGGTTTGCTTTTACTTTTAACATCCCCCCCCCCCCCCAAAAAAAAAAACCTATACATTCCATAGAAATAGACAATATTTGAACCCTCTATGAGTCTATTCTATCATTCAAAGTGACAAATTTAAATGAGTAAATACACGTTTGTTTGAAGATTTTGTTTTATTTTTTCCTTCCTCCCAAGAAGGTTTTGAAATTTGATTGTGGTAATGATATATTGATATTTTTTGTTCTGATCTCAACTGTCTGTTACACAATGCTGCATCCCAGTTTATACCTGTGTCTAAATATAAAAAAAACTTAAACCAGAATGAACCCCAAAAGTTAAACAATTTCATGACGGAGAACGTGAGAAACGCAGGATTTGGATGAGTGAAGGTCGACAACGTGGTATGGGCCACGAATCCTATAGGAACTACAAGATTATCTTTTAAAAAAGATAGGTGAGCTAGCGCCGTAGCAATTTTTAAACACAGAAAGGAGGATCCGTGATCAAGTGATTTATTTTGCTGAATTCTTTAAGTTTTATCGCGGCTGGAGAGTGATAAAATTATAATTGTTTTGTGCAGTGTATTGTATAGACACATAGGTAAAGAAACGGGTGGTGGTGGGGGGGGGGGGGTTGACCTATTGGAGTTTTTACGCAACGAAACATTTATGACCTTTACTGGAGAGGGGGAGACTCTATATAATATGGAGAAGATGTCGATTGAGGCATTGTCTTAGCTGGATTTAGAATAGACTTTCTTGGCAATATAGCAAAGAAAATACAGGGGAGTTGTTTTGTGAAGTGTATTTTATAGACACATAGGTAAAGAAACGGGTCGGGGGGGGGGGGGGGTGGGGGGGGGTTGTTGACCTATTGGAGTTTTTACGCAACGAAACATTTATGACCTTTACTGGAGAAGGGGAGACTCTATATAATATGGAGAAGATGTCGATTGAGGCATTGTCTTAGCTGGATTTAGAATAGACTTTCTTGGCAATGTAGCAAAGAAAATACAGGGGAGTTAAAAGGAATCTAGAAATTACCTCAAAGTGTATGTTGTATAAAGAAATCCAAAGTTCCGAATGTGAAGATGCGAAGTAGTTGCATGGTTCTTTGGGTCGTCTTTGTCAATTAAGAAATGTTAGGTTTAAAACCATACACATAATGATTTTTTTTTACGAATAATGGATTTATTCGTTATTTTCAGTGTAAATTCTTGTTTTTGGGATATGTAAGATGTAAGATTGGCCGAATTATCTTTGGTGGTAATTAGACGTAAAAAAAAACCTCCCTTGTCTTTGTTTAGGACAATCAGATAATGACCCGGGCTTTTCCATCAGAGAAAAACCCGTAAAATTTGAAGTATTACAAATATGTAGTTATCTTTTAAGTGTAAGCTACACAATGCAGTTATTTAATGCTAAAACATGATACAACGAAATTGTTATCGTACGGTCTATCTATAGTAGTTTTCCCAGAATGCACGACCGTGAAGCCGAGCATGCGTATTCAAGGAATGTGGACTAGCGCTAGCAACAAGCGCGCCAAAAGGTACTTTAAATCGTAAAGAGCTTCAATGTGCGCACGACGGTTTCCAAACCAAAGTATTTAATTAAGGACATTGACGAAGCCTCATAGTGTGATGTGCAATTATTCTGGAAGTTCATCAAACGTCAAAGACCTCGTAGCTCTCGAATAAATCCTGAAATAGAACTTGATGGTGTTACATACTCAAACCCAAAGGATATAGCCAACTGTTTCGCACATCACTTTGAACGTATACACAACCCACAGGATGACGGAACCTTTAACTCTGACTTCTTCCAATTTATTGAAAATTCTTACAACAATCTGAAAACAACTACCAAAGTTCTAACTGAAAAATTTTTCCCAGGCGGAGATGTCACCATTGACGAAATTTCCATAATCATAAGTGAGTTAAAAAACAGAAAAGCTTCTGGGTTAGACATAATTCAGAACAAACATATTGTCTACGGAGGCTTAGAACTTAAACTGTGTATACGGCACCTTTTTAACTCTATCATAAAAACTGGTCAAATCCCAGACTCCTGAGAAAAAGACATTATTGTCCCTATACACGAGGGAAGCAACAAACCACGGAAATCCCCAGACAGTTATAGACCAATAGCCTTACTTCCATGCCTTCTTAAGATTTTTTGAAAAATTGTTATTAGGCAGGATAAAATCTCATGTTCTATCCGCTATTCATTTTCCAAACACACAACAACAGGGATTCCAGCAGAAGCTCGGCTGCCTCACTGCATCTTTCAACCTCCAAGAAACTATATATCACAATATAAAACTTGGTAATCCGGCATGCGTTGCTTTCTTGGATACCCAGAAAGCATTTGACACAGTGTGGCGACATGGTCTTATGTCTTAAGCTGCACCGCCTGGGAGTACCTGGTAGGCTTTGGACTCTTTGGACTTCAATACGAAAAACTACCTGTTCTGTTGTGGTAAATAACGTTAATTCGAACATGCTTCCAGTATGTAGAGATTTCGTCAAGGAGGGGTACTCTTGACATTTCTTTATTTGGTTTTTATTAAATGATCTACTTCTAGACATTCAAGATAAATGTCCCAATATGGGTATCTACAGCATTACAAGTTCTAATCCTGCCCTTGCAGATGACATTTCCTGTCTAGGGTTATATCCTGCAGCTACCCAAATCATTCTCTCCACAGCTTATGACTATTCTAAAAATTGGAGATATAAGTTCAATGTTGTCAGACAAGTCAAGTGTTCTTTGATTTTCCAAAACATCTACCAATTATTACGAGTCCCCAGTATGGTTTCTTGGTCCAGACTCTGTCTATATATCTAAAACCTATAACCATTTAGGAATTCTTCTTCAATCCAAACTCATCCATACCGAGAAAATTGAAAATGCATGCAGGAAAGGACGACAGGCATACTTTGCCCTCCAAATACAAGAACATCTTAACCCAGTCACCATATCACAGCTTTACACCAGAATTGTACTCCCTTCGACTTTGTACGGATGTGAACTTTGGTCCAACTTACATCAAAGAGATCTGCAAACCCTTAGCACCTTTCAGCATGCTGTTGGTCTACCAAAAGACACTAGATCTGATATCTGTGAATCCTTACTTGGACTTCTTCCGATTTCGTATGAAATTGACAAAAGAAAACTGCATTTTTTCGGCCGATTGTGTGAACTGAATACCAAAACTCTAACTGAACAGATTTTTCTCCACCGGCTTTTTCTTCCTTACAGTCTCCCGAACTTAAACATTATGGCTTGATCAATGACGTCATGGCTCTTTTTATAAGTATGACCTCCATCAGTACCTCCTTATATACTTACAAGATGGTTACTTCCCCCCAAAATACCTGTGGAAAAGATGTGTTAAAGCAGAAGTCACCAACGTACATCTGGAATCAAGACTTCAACGGATGTACTCAGAACCATCCTTTCTTCTTTTCAATACAACAACGGCAGGGAAATTCCGCAAACTATCTGGGAAATTCCAAGCAACATCCACGAAATAGAAATTTGTAAATTTATTGCCAAGCTATGGTCTCTTTCAGACTATCCTCCAGAACCTTGTCCCTTCTGCGAAGGAAACTTCAGGAACATTTTTGAGCACATATCTACAACCTGCTTGGGCACACCGCCATCCGCGAAGTATGGTGGGATACAATGAGTGAAGACTTTGACATTATATTAAATGCCGAACTTTCCGGTCTCAGTCCATATGACCTATACCTTTTTCTACTAGGTGCTAGATCATTCTCAAGCGATCTCATTTTGATGGGCCAAGTTTACATAACTTGAATTTTCGTTTCCTCGAGGATATTGCAGGATGGTTTAACAGGCAGTTGCGTAGGAGAACAGAGTGCCCTGTCTATACATACTGTTAGAGTTTTATGAAGAGACTTACTTTTACAATCGACGACTGACTTCTACAATTTAAACAGTGACAAACTCCAATTACTAAAATGTAAAAGTCAACTGTCGAATGTAAAAGTAAGTCTCTTCATAAAACTCCGTTAGCAACCTAGTTCTTTCTTTCTACCTTGTATATCGCTATAGTCAGCAACCTTGATCTTTCCTATTGTAATATAATGTACACATGTATTTTTTTATTTCTACTAATTTGTACAAATTGTCCAATTTGGACGTTTGTACAAACTCAACAATGTCAACACTGAAGAACACTCACCCTCCTTACAAATCAACGTGAATCCTGGGTATTGGTAATGGTACATGTAAGTGTCCACAAGTAACTTCTGAACCAAACAAGCCCTTACATAAAGATTCTGTCTTGTCCCGTATAGTCCCAATGCTAGTAGTTCTAAATAACAAAAACCTATTCCCTTAATGCTAAGATAGACCCCTATCCCTGTATGAACCAATTCTATCGAAATTAATTATTTCAGTGCTGATACCCTCGCCTCCGTCTTCATTGTCACCCGAAATTGAAACTTTCAGTACTGGTAATATTTATTGTTATTTACCTTATGTATTGATATTCAAATCCACATAGAATAGCATTAGTTAATATCTCTATTACTTAGTAGTTTGCTGCTTATAGACAGACATTTATATTTATGCATATTTGTTTTATATATACAAACACTTAAACAAAATATATCATTTTAATCTTTATTAGCTGACTTA